CACACACACACACACACACACACACGCACCCGGTGTGAGTTTTAAGCCACTGGATCCGGGACGCAAACCACAGCCAACTACGTGGGAGTCCAGCGACATAGCCGTTACGCTAACTGCTGGTTCCCCCAACTTATTTTTATATTGTTCTTGTAGCCTACAACTTTGCCAACTCATTTATTAATTCTAATATTGTTTTGTGGATTCTTTTGGATTTCCTATATGTAGGAGCAAGTCTCTGTGAGTATGGTTTTACTTCTCTTTCTTAACTGGATGTCTAATTTTTTTCTTTCCTAAACTTCTTTTTTTTTAGAGAGAGAGATTTTTCCAATAGGGCACATGCACTTGCTGGAGAGACAGAGACAGACAGACAGAAAGTGAGAAATCGTCCCCCCCCCCCAGGGGAGATGGCAATGCCACGATTCCTTCCCCATTCTTTTCTCAAGATTTTGGGCATGCATGCGCATGTGCCTGACGTGAGTTTCAAGCCACCAGGTCCAGCACTGTACGACTACGTGCAAGTCCAGAGATGTAACCATTACATCATCTGCTGGTCCCTTTCTTTCCTAAACTTTCTATAGTTAGAACCTCCAGTGCAATGCTGAATAGAAGTGGTGAGGAAGGCACGCTAGTCTCTGATCTTGGGAAGGTACATACGTTAATTATGACTTTAGTTTGGGGTGTTGTCTAGACATTCTTTATCAGGCTGAGGACACTGCCTTCTATGCAAAGTCTTCTGAGTTCTTTCACCATGAAAAGGTGTGAATTTGGGGTCCAGCAGGTGGCATAGCAGCTAAGGCACTAGACTCCCCCATGGCTCATGGCGGCGCAAGCCTTGGACCCAGCAGCCTGAAAAATCACACCAGGCACATGTTGAAAGTGTGCCCCAAATCCTGAAAGAATGGGGGAGAAGAGACTGTGGTGTGGTCGTCCCCCTCGGCACTGATTCCTCATTTTCCCTCTCTCTGTCTCTTTCCAGAAGCACACATACCCTATGGCAGAAACTTACAAAAAAAAAAAAAAAAAAAAAGAATTTTCTTTCTATATCTGTTGAGATGCTCATGTGTCTTTTGCTCTTTATTAATATAGATTAAATTAATTGATTTTCAGATGCTAAACCAACTGTGCAGTCCCGGGATAAACCCCACTTTGTCGTGGTATATAATCCTTTTTATATATTGCTAGATTCCATTTCTCCCAGAGGATTTTTGCATCTCAGAAATACATTTTGAGCCACATCGAAAGCATCAAATCCTTTTGTAATGATGATAGCTCCCATTTTCAGAATGCTTTATCATTTCAAAGCATTCCCTCATAAATTGAGTTTATTCCCCGAGTAGCCAAGGACCATGAGAACAACCCACATGACCTTATCTGATCTCAGCTATCCATCTGGAAACCTAGCCATCCTGCGCATGCCCAACAAGATAAATGGTTTCCTTTGCATAGTCCAAGAAGATACGCCCACTAACCCTGCCATCCGGGCGGTGCTGGATTCCTCTGGCCGGAGTTCCTGCTACCATCCCAATGGAAATGTCTGGTAGGCTTCCAGTTCTTCCTGTGGCCTGTGTGTGTGTGTACAACTGCATTTCTCTTTTTCAATAAATGATAAGAATGGCTTTAGGAAGACATACTTAGGGACCAGTAGATGGCATAATGGTTATGTTGCTGGACTCCCACCTGGCCAACCATGGTTTGAGTCCTGGATCGGAGGCTTGAAACTCACTCTGGGCACATGTGCATGCAGGTCCAAAATCACAAGAGGAGAATAGAGGAGAAGGGATTGCAACACGGCTATCTCCCCAGGGAGTGAATTCTTGCTTTCTGTCTGTCTCCGGTGAGCCCATTCACCCAATAGCAAAAATCTCTCTTAAAAATAAGACATACTGGGAACCAGCAGTTAGCGTAATGGCTATGTCGCTGGACTCCCACGTAGTCGACCGCGGTTCGTGTCCCGGACCCGGTGGCTTAAAACTCACGCCGGGCGCGGGTTCGTGCGTGCCCAAGATCCCGAGAGGAGAATGGAGGAGAAGGGATTGCGGCGTGACCATCCCCCCTGGGGGGTGATTTCTCGCTTTCTGTCTCTATGTCTCTCTCTGTCTGTCTGGCGAGCACACACGCCCTACAGTGAAAATCTCTCCAAAAAAAAAGAAAAAAAAGATAAGACATTCTTAAGTTAGTGGTCTTTAGATAGTAACATTCAATTCAGAGACATTTTTGGTTTATGCTTTCAGTGGAAAAGTCCTAAGCACCTATGCAAAACAGGGATCATCAAATTCTTTCTATAAGCAGTAAGGAAATATGGACTAAACAGTTGTAATATAGAAGAAAAATCTTGCTAAGTATATGGTGACTCTAGGGATTTGGGTTGTGAATTCAGGCAGTCCCCACAGCCTGTGTCCCAATGGGCTTACACTGCTTCATCCTTGGCAATAATTTGTCGATGGACAGTGGCTCCTCTGGGCTGTCGTTCCTTTTTTAAAAGAATTATTTATTTACTTAACTCCATTTGTTATTATTATTTTAACAGAGACAGAGAGAAAGGGAAAGCGAGAAAGAAAGCCACCAGGTCTGAAACTTGAACCATGGTCAGCCATGTAGGAATCCAGAGCCTTTAACCACCACACCACCTGCCAGCCCCAAGATATATTCCTATCAGTAGTAAGCTTCCGATATCCCCAGCCTTCAACAACATCATGCAAATAAAATCTCTATCTTAACCCATTTTTATATACTAACATATTCTATGACTTCCTATTATTTTCATTTAGCCTGACAAAGTAAAAATTAGGTTCTTTAAATGTGAATTAAATTACTTGACATTTTCCGAAATCAATCTCCTCTCTCTTTAGGTTATTTACAGATATAATCATCTCATCTTGGGAAACACTGCCAATAACTGCAAAGTTTGAACACTGTAGGAATTGAGAAAGTTAGGGGACGGATCAGTCAGGTGGCTGGATCCCACATGACTGACTGTGTGGTTCGAGTCCCAGACCCAGAGGCTCAGAAAACACATCAGGTGCATGTGCATACATGTGCAAAATCCCGAGAGGAGAAGGGAGAGGAAGGGATTGGCCATCTCACCGGGGGTGGGCGCTGTGTGCTTTTTGTCAGCAGTTGTATGTCACATCTGGTGGAGTGTTGTACTGTCACCAACATTCATTGACTTTTAGACACGAAACCAACTGGTTCTTCCAGACTAGTCTCATGAAGCCCCTCACCCACGAACTGAACGTGGACACTGTGGCCAGGCTCTCTCACATTCTCACAGCTCCTCCCCTGCCCCTGTGTGGTGAGCCCGTTCCCCTCCAGACTGAAGTTCCTGGAAGGCACGTCCTGAGCCTTCACTCCCTACCAACATGTCTGCAGCAGTCCAGACTCAAAGAAGACAGATGACTGATGCATCTAGGCTATTTTAGCCAATTACTGGTTTTACCCCCGTTTAAAGATAAAACTAAATCTGCTCCCCAGACAGAAGCTCATCGCTTCAGTTTCTCATTTGTGCTTTTTGCTATTAAATTACTGCCACTAATCAATTCCGGGGCCATGAGATGTTACTTATCTTAACGCTTGGGGCTCTCATGGCCAATTCACCTAGTGTTTTTTTTTTTTAATTCACTATCCAATTAAACTAGCTTCTAAGTACCCGAAATATACCTGTTCCCTCTTTTCAAGATGAGAGTGATGATCCAAGTAGGAAGAAGGGGGGAGAGTATGAGGAGATAATTTAGTAGCATGGCACGGTGATGCTAGGTGCCACCCCACCCAGACCTCGCAGGGCTAACTTATATGTAACCAAGGCTGGTGTGGGGTCCTGGGGATGCCGAGACGGGAGGCCCCATTGAAGGTGTTTCACCTTCTACTCCATGACAGGTCTCTTTCCCACTGCAGTGACCGCAGGGGCAGCCCCAGGGCCCCTCCTGCCCACACCCACCCTGCTCAGGAGCCTCCTGGCAGAACACCTGACTTCCGGTTGGTGCGCAGTTAGAAAAGCTCCCCTATACCGAGGCCCTCCCCTATGCTGAGGCTGCCCCAGGATGTATAGCCACTGGGCTTTGCATTTGCTAAGCCTTGGTCTTCCCCCCTTTTAAGACTAGCCTACTCTCCTGTATTTCCTATTTTCCAAACTAAACCTCCCTCCCCTGCTTCTTTTTACATAGTCTCAGACCCCCTTACCATCCCAGTTCCCACTTTTGGGTCCATTTTGATATGTCAGCACGGTCTCAGATTGCAGTCAGCTCTTCAGATGAGTGTAGAATTCTGTCGTGGCGAATTCTGTCTTAGAGGAATAGCATCCCTAAAACTAGCAGTTCCCACCATTCAGACATTATCGGCTAGCACGACCTGCTACTCTCCTTGGTTAGCAGGTGACAGGACTCATTCTAGCCCTGAATTACGATGTTATTGTTGATAATATTCAATGTCCTTCTTGTCCAGGGTGTACATCAATATCTTCGGAGGTCAATATTCAGATCAAGATGGCAACAGAGTCAGGGCGTGGAACTGGTCAAGTTCTGTCACTTCCTTAGCCTTCATTTCCTTTAAACCCGTCTTTCTGGCTTTGAACCATTATGTCAGTGTTCGGATCTTAGAACAAGACAAGATTTCCATCACTTTTCTAGCAATGGGCCAACAGGCAAGAATCAGTGTTGGAACCAAAGTGCAGGTGAGTATATTTTCAGGAACAGTTGAAAGCCTTTTTCGAATAATGAGGGTAAAATAACTCTTGTCAGTTTTACTCCCAGTGATTATTCTTGTGCATAAGCTACTGTCTACTAAGACTTTGGGAATTTAGTGAGAAAGACTCGTGGTGAAACTTTCAAATGGAATCAAAGCAGCCTTGTTTGTTGTTTCTTTCCTCAGACATTCCTTCTGGTTCAGTCTTGGATCTAAGCAACACTTGCTGAGTGCTTATTCTGTGACTTAGCGGTGCTGCTGGGGGGTTTGTTTTAGAATTTTGTACTGTGTATGTTTTCCCCCTGCTATAATAGGACACCCCAGGCTGCATCAGGAGGCCTGGGTTCTTTATTTCATGTTGTTTATGCTCCCCTCAGCAGAGGCTGGTGAAATTACTTGAATCAATTGTAAGCTTTTGAAAGTATCCGAATTCCAGGTCAGTCAGTGGTAGTGTGGTTAAGGGGGCTGGATCCCACAGAGCCGACTGCGCAGTTCAAGTCCCAGACCCAGTAGATTGAAAACCAAACCGGGTGCATGTGTGTGCATATCCAAAATCCCAAGAGGAGGCTGGAGAAGGAACTGTGGCATGGACATCCTCCCTGGGGGGGGGACAATTTCTCACTTTCCTTTTTTCTCTTTTTCTCTCCTCTCCTCTCTTTCTGTCTCCAGCAAGTTGCACACGCCCTCTAGCAAATTAAAAAGCAAGGTATCCAAATTCCATTTGGTCTGTCAAGGCTCCACAGCATTCCAGGTCTTTCCTTGTTCAGATCAGGACTACCCTGACCCCTGCTTAGACAGCTGCTCTGGGATCTGGGCTCTGGGCTCTGAGCAGGGGACCTGACGCCACGTTGGTGCCCCCACACAGCTCCTCCTGCCTCCCCACTTCCGCCAGCTCCCTTTCTCTCCTGGGCACAAAGGTTCTTTTCAATTTCTCTTTGCTGAAAAGCTACCAAACCCTGAGGAGATTCCGGTCCTTCGGTACCTGAGTGAAGATGACCTTCTGTTGCTGGCCACCTTAATCAAGATCCGACGGCTGTTCCATAAACTGGAAGGGTGTATGAGTTTCCCCTCAAGCCAGGCTTGGGAAAAATTAAAGCAACCTTCCTACCTTTCTTCACTTTCCCTAAAACTAATTGCCCTCTGTCACAATTCTGGCCTAAAGAAAAATATCATGACAACAATAAATAAGATAATAAATGAAAACATTTAACAAAGAATGATGTTGCTTTCATTTGTTTTGAAGTTCTTCTGGGAGATTGGGAGGTTTCAAAAGAAAGGGCACAAAATGACTAAGACATATGGAGAAATATGCTCTATTAGAAATTCTGTATCCATCCTGGGTCATTACTGGATTGTAGTCTCTTCATAACTCACTTGCTCAACACCAGAGAAGGAGCACATCAACAAAAGCCTTGCTGCCAGTCAGAGTTCATAGGAAAACAGAAAGCGAGGAGGGGATTAGATGCTCCCAAAGCCACTGAGTGGAAGGGGAAACCCCTGCTGGCCTTCAGTAAATGCAGAAGCGAAAGTATTTTGGGAAAGCACAAGAACCTTAAACAGCGAATGAGTGACACTCCTCTTATACAGAATGTATTCTTTGTGTGTGTGTGTGTGTGTGTGTGTGTGTGTGTGTGTGTGTGTGTAAGAGATATTCCTTAGGGCACATGCACTCACTGGAGAGAAACAGAGAGAAGGAAAGTAAGCAATTACTCCCCCCCACCCCCAAAGGGGATGGCTGCACCACAATTTCTTCTCCTCAGTTACCCTCTTGGGATTTGGGTCACGTACACATACACATGCCCAGCGTGTTATTCAGGCCACCGAGTTCAAGATTAGAACTGCTGAGTCGGCCATGTGGGATCCAGCACCTTAATCACCATGCCATCTGCTGGTGTATTCATTTGTATTCTTTTTTGTTTGTTTGTTTAACTCTATCTTCAGATAATTCTCTAGAGATAGAGACCAGATTCAGAGCTTAACACAAAAAAACTTAAAACTTTTCTAACCGAGTTCTTTCAATTCATGAATGATCTGGAATTCACACAGGTAATATGTCACTATCTAAAAAGACGTGTTAAATTTTCTTACGTCTACACTGTCTGACTCCTTTCCCCCAGGCCACATTCAGGTAGAAATACTACATACTTTCATACACCGCTAAGTTTTATCACTCCATTTGCTGTAGCATTCAACAGAAATTCTCAGTTCTACAAACCAAATGATGTTTTGGGAACTCTTCTGTGACCAAAAGGTGATGTCAAGGATTTTCACCAATTTTATAATAAGATCCAGGAGACAAGATAAAATAATCATACTTCATACTCACATGTTGCTTATAGTTTAAATTTCCCAGGAATCCTGCAAATTTCTGAGAAAGACATTGTAATCGAAAGATGGTAAGGACTGCTTGCGTTCACAGCTCACCAGGAGGTAGAGTCAGAAAGCGAGCGGAGGTCTTTCAACTCATCCGTGTTCTTTCCTTGGTTCCTCACCAGGGCACACTTTGCCAAGCACCAGCGTGCTGAAGAAGTCATCCTTCAGTGAGACTATCCAGGGGAAGCAGGCCAGCTTGAGGTTTAGCAGGACGGCAGCCATTTTGAAATTAAGAAAGGCCTCAAACAAGAACAATCTGACCGAGTACTGAGTCATAAGGAGGTCTGTTTGAGGAATGGTCAGATGAGAAACCAGGAGCGGGTGTTTGGAGTAAAACATAAATCAGGTCAAGTACTCAGGGGAAAGCAAGTGACTGACTGATTGCTGTGAAGGATGGTTTGCGCGTGCTCATATCTTATATCTCCAAATCCTGAGCACATGTTGAGTTTTCTGAGTGTGAAGGTGCTTGCTGCCCGTCTCCCTGTTGCTAGTTGCAGAAATAAACTCCCTTCTTCTCCAGCCTCTGCCTCATTTCATTGACCGTGCGAAGCATCAGCCAGACCTAGACCTACTTTGCCTGTAACATAGCACGCCACCAACGAGCCGTGTGCCCTTGGGCACGTTCTTTACCTCCATGAGCCTCAGTTCTCTCAGTATAAACTGAAAAAGAGAAAACTGACCTCTCGTGGTTGTACTGTCTTAGTTCAGGCTGCTAACAAACTACTACAGACTAGCTGCTTTAAACAACAAACATTTAATGCCATCCCAGAGGCTGAAGATGCAGATGCCTGCGTGGGCAGGTTCTAGTGAAGGCCCTCTTCTGGGTGCAGACTTCTAGATTTTCATTGTATTCTCACATGGCAGAAAGGAAGCTAGACACTTTGCTGAGGTTCATTTTGTCAAGGCACTAATTCCATTCATGAAGGCTGTACCCTGCTAATAATCACCTCCTGAAGGCCCCCATCTGAAGACCATCACGCTGGGGGTTAGGATTTCAACCTATGAATTTGCAGTTAGGGGGTACATTCAGATCATACCACATAGTGAGCCCAGGAGGGAAAGTAGGTGCAGGGCCCAGCCTGCTGTAAGCTGTGCTCCGTGGTGGGTAGAGCCCACGGAGACTGTGCAGAGACACCAGCTGCAGGTCAACACAGTCCTTCTAACCAAACTGGGGGATGAACTCAACTTTCTTCTGAGCATTAACAGGATTACAAAGAAAGGTTAGATAATGAGATGAAGAACTAACAGGAACTGAGAGCTGACATCAGAAGGGAATGATTTCATTATCATGACAATGAGCTACATAAATAAAGATTAACAATAGGAAAACTAACTCACTTGGTCCCATATGGACATGTTTGTTTCTCCTTTAACCACAGGGAACAAATGGAAAGTATTATACAAAACACGTCGACTCAATTTCCTAAGCGTGCGTTCAAGTTTTTGCAGTGTTTATTGCTCATCAATCAAAAAACAGATGAACTTGGGAAGTATGGATCTCTTTCTGCTTCATTAAATTCTCTCATTACAATCGCCTAGTACACAGAGACGTGGTTTACAATCAATCACGTTCTAGTGAATGGCCCTTGGCCTTCCACAAGGAAGTGAAGCAATCCATCCAGACCAGTGATCCTCAGACTTTTCCCTTTTCATGCCCCTAAGAAAAAATATTCTAATCCATGTTCTCCTTGCACATTTTTTCAGTTGACAGCTGGACTGATTCACTGTAAGCCTAATTTCCAACATACTGTAAATCTTGTCATTGGAAATAAAACATTACTTTCTAAAATGAAGCTAAGAAAATCTAAATAACAATAATATGGCATATGCCATCATTCATTTAAAAAATATATGAGCTAGCTCTTCTTTATTAGTCAGAAACTTTGCACCATTCCTTTTTTCTTTCCCCCTCTTCATTTGGAAACTATGCTTTCACCTTCATTCCTCCAAAGAAGCTTACTGAACTGTGACGTTAGTATGGTTGAAAATCTATTACTGTACATCTCATCATATTTCCTGACTACAAAAATACATGAGTATAAACATTTTAAGCTTTATTTTCTATGACTTCAAGGCTCTAGGTGTTCAAAAGAACTCTTTTGATTGAAGTAACATCATGATTATTAGTAGCACATAATTTACCAAAACAACATCCTTTTTTTTTTTTTTGTAGAGTATTTTTTTTGGTATAGGGTGCATGCACTCGCCAGACAGACAGAGAGAGACAGAGAGACAGAAAGCGAGAAATCACCCCCCGGGGGGATGGCCACACCGCAATCCCTTCTCCTCCATTCTCCTCTCGGGATCTTGGGCACGCACGCACATGCGCCCTGCGTGAGTTTAAGCCACCGGGTCCAGGACGCGAACTGCAGTCGACTACGTGGGAGTCCAGCAGCATAGCCTTTCCATAGCTGCCCTCCTCTTTCTTCCTGTATTCTATCACTCGACCTCCCCTTTCCTTGAGGCAATGGTGATGAATGGTTGCCAGGGAAAGTGTTTTACACAAGAGAACTGAAAAGCTTGTCCTTTCAGTGTTTGCAAACTACTACCTTACCAAAACAACATCCTTTTTTTTTTTTTTGTAGAGTATTTTTTTTGGTATAGGGTGCATGCACTCGCCAGACAGACAGAGAGAGACAGAGAGACAGAAAGCGAGAAATCACCCCCTGGGGGGATGGCCACACCGCAATCCCTTCTCCTCCATTCTCCTCTCGGGATCTTGGGCACGCACGCACATGCGCCCTGCGTGAGTTTAAGCCACCGGGTCCAGGACGCGAACTGCAGTCGACTACGTGGGAGTCCAGCAGCATAGCCATTACGCTAACTGCTGGTCCCCAAAACATCCTTAAATATGAGTGACAACAAAGTACTGCAAACCACTTGGCATGGAACATGCCCAGTTCACCAGGATCATTTATTTTCTCAACAGAGACCCCTCGGGTGGAGCTCTGGAGGGTTGCGCACCTGGCACTGCCCCTCACTGAGACAACCATGGAGGACAGGTCTGACCAACTGGAAGCGAAAAGGGCCTCTACTTCCATTACTCACTCAGTCTCTTTCCATTCACTTTTAGAGAAGACACATAAAACTGAGCACCTGGGAACCAATGCCCTGGGGAAGTCACCTGAGGGTCCTCAGATATCCAGTTCAAAGCTCACCAAATCAGACCATCCACAGAAGGTGCAAATTAGCTGAACATTCAGAGTAGAGTTGATACTGCAAATATAAATTCAATTTCTCCACCCGTGTCAGGTGCAAACTGGAAGATCTTCCAGGTTGTGAGGCAGATACCATTGCACAAACATACACAAACACACAAACATGGTTGGCAAGAAAATTTTTCTTCTACCAGCTCAAGAACTGTGAATTAATTGATGAATGATTAGTAAAAGTATATGCACATGGGCATGTACAAGAGCCCTAGACCTGCTCCCTGAATAGCTGAGAATAAACATTTATACACAGTTTAATAAAGTCTGAGTGGGTGGGAGAGGAGGGAGGGCTGGGGCTTCAGTGGGAAAATATGGAAGGTTCTGTGAAGCTTATTTACACAATTTCCTTAGACCGTGGTGGTGCTGAAGGTCAGTCCCTTCTTTGTGTAGTTCCCCTTGGGTGGGATGTAGGGAGTGAGTTATGGCAGCTGAACTCTCACCTAATGCAGCTCTGCATTAGTCAGGTAAGGAAATTCATATAAAATTTCTTTCTGCATTTGCTGTAACTCAAAAATGTTCAGTTTAAAATCATCTTTATGTCATTTTGATGGGACGTTAATCCCATCAACATATACCTAAGCCACTCCCCAAAAGATGTGATCTACAGCTTCACCCCTCAAGGGTG